GCCGTCCGGTGAGCAGAACGCTGATAGCATAAACGATAAACTCTTTACCCCCATTACCTGGATGATCGGGCTATGCCCGTTGACGATAGCCCCGACTACCTTCGCCTGGTTCCCGCGGAACGTCGCTGCGTCGTCCCCCGTCATCTGCCGTAGCCGGCCGGCCATGTCCGCCTGCTGTAGCCGTGCGAACCGCCGTAGCCGGGCCTCGAGACGGACGCCGTCGTAGAGCTCTACCTTTCGCTTCGAGCCGCTGCGGTAACCGTCGCTCGCCCGGTCCTCGTCCCAAACCCCAAGAACCGATGCCACTGCGAGCTGACCTTACGAAACTGCTGCTGCTTAGCCGCTACCCCGCTACCGAACTGGACTAGTAGCCGCCTATAGATCTACCGGCGATCCGCGTCCCGTGCCCGGCTTATAGATCCTACGGGCTATTACCGAGCTGTCTTCGTCCTCGTCGTCTCCCTTCTTCCCTAGATCCCACCGCCCGAACGCCTCGTGTAAGAATCGGTTAGCGATAGCGATGGCAATATGCCGCCACATGCTCACGTTCAGCTTATTACCGAGTAGCCGGCTGCTGTACCGTTATATAATTCGCCTGGCCCGGTCCGTCGTCTACGTCCGATCCTCTATCCAAGCCTACGCCGCCCTACCCTCGTCCCCGTCCTCGGCAGTATCGCCCGCGTTATCGATATCTATACTGGTTACCGTCGCCGCTCCTCCGCCGCTCCTCTTCTATATGACCTCGTCGGCCATAAGAAAGCGCTATAGTGGTGGGCCTGCTTCGTGATGCCTTCTGCTTCCTGCCAGAACGGAAGTACGAGCTATAAGTACTACAAAGTAGCTCGCCGGCCTCTCTGGTAAATACCGGTGGATAATCTTAGTCTGCCCGCTGCTCCGGTACCCTTTATGGTACGCCGTTACGAAACATATTATACCGTCGTGTATAAAGATGTTCCGTACCCCGCCGTTTACCGTATTAGCTACCCGTAAGCTACCCATCTCCGTCGCCCGTCCCGGCTGGCCCCCTAGCATATGCATCAGCAACCATAGCCGCTCGCGGAACTGCTCGAACGTATGCCCGTACTCGCGCACTACCTCCTCCCTGAACGCCCTGCTGCCCGACGTCGGTCCCTCTATACCCCACTGACGCCGCCGCGGTTGGGACCCCACGATACGCCGGAACACCCACCCGTCCCCTTCCCTCAGCCACGCGTTGCGGTCGTCGTATAGAAACGAGTAACCCTCTCGGGTCTCGCTATGGTCGTCCTCGATCGACGGCCAGTGAATACGCGGCAGCGCTTCGTCTAGACAGCTCCTCGCCTGGCTGCTGTCCGACACTGCGTCGCCCTGCTCGTCCCCGCCTGTGACCATCGTGAGCTGCGCTAATAGCAGCCTGGCCTCGTCGACGACGCCGTGGAGCATGTCCGATAACTGGTCCATGGTAAACCGTACGCGCCGATACGATATGCGGTCGCCTACCCAGTCGATTACGCCGTCTGCCGGCGTGTTATACTGTATGTGCATGCCATACGTCCGCGTCTCGAGAATCCAATCCATCGGTGTTGGCTCGGCTTGGGGGGCCCCGGGCGTACGCGTCATGAACCTCTGTACCATGCGACGGACGTAGACAAAGAGACTCTCTATGCCATCATCGGCCGCCCCCTCGTCCGTCGTAGCGGCCTGACGAGCGACATCGTATTGCCTCTGCGTATATACCTTATAAACGACTAACATACGTGCTACTTTAATAATCGCCAAATACTTTGTTATATAGTCGGTAATATCCATCTAGCCACCGTCGGCCCGGATGCCTATTACAGCGAGCGCGCTCACTATTACGTTCTCGTACTACCCTCTCTTAAGCTGGTAGTCTAGCATACTAACGAGCATCTCGAGTACTGCCGGCCGGAGCGTATCCGACGTAGTGTCGGAGTCCCCTTCTACTACGGCCTTAGCCAATTGTTCGAACTCGTCCTACGCGTCGTACTACCTCTCGGTAAGCCGGTACGGCGGTCTCCCGTCGTCCGGTAGCTCCTACGTCCGGAACTACATATAGAGTAAGACCCTCTAGATATCTTTATACCGTACCTAAGTGTCCTCCTTAATGCGGTTATTAAACGGCCTCGTGGGCTTAATATGTGCTTCCTTCCGCTGGACCTCGAATAGTACGGCGTGCCCGATCTTATTGGGCGTAGATATGGCCCTAGCGTACTCTAAGACCTTGTTGACCGAAGTCCATATTATATGGAGTACGTCCTCTACGGCCTCCTGGATTGGGCCGGTGGTTTCGTAGAGCTGGCTGATGCGTAGTCTACTCAGATGCTCTGCCCATCCTACCCGCTGGAGCTACGGGTTCGGCTCGAGCTTGTCGTTGGTAGCACGGATGAGATCGTTATGGCTCGCCTTGACCTGCTCGGCTTGGTTCTGCCGTAGTTGACGGAGTAGCTCGGTGGCCTGCCGTGACGCTGCCTCCTCGGCGACCGCCTCCGGCGCTTGGTTTAGCGGTTAGCTACGCCCTACCTCGAACTATTAGCTCCTAGCCCGTAATAAAAAGAACCGCTAGTATAGTATACTAGACGTTTACGGTATACTATATTCCTGATAAGATCTCGCCCTTACGTTACCGCCCTTCTTCTAGTCGTTTACCCACCCGTGATATCTTCGGTAGTGATCCTGGATCCTTTGAGTTTAGTAACAAACATAGGAACATCGGTGACATCGGATACCGTCCGTACGTAGGTCGGTAAGATGGTCGATAGGGGCTATTAATGGGTCGGGATACTGCAGCTGCGTAAGACTGGCCTAGTTCGTATATATACCCATTATACTAGAGATGGCCTTGACGATGTTACTACGGGTCGACGGTGGGATATGGCGGTGGCGTGTCCGTAGGTGGGTGGCTAACTCGTCATTAACCACAGCAAACTAACATATTTTACAAATAGCGAGTACATACTCTTCATAAAAGATAAACGGCTCCATTACTAGCGTAATTACGATAGTCTTAGGCCGTGGTGGTTGTGGGCTACTACCGAGATAAGTGGTGTTAGTCTTACATATTGGTGGATTGATGTTGACTGTGGTTGAGTTAAGATGCTGTTGGACGGGCAACTATCTTAACCACAGCATTAAACTGGACATGGGCGCTATCTCCTCATTCGGTAGCTGCAGCGCATTCCTTATCTCGTTTAACTATACTAAACTGCTTACCACAAAGGAAACGCTAGGTAGAAATACTATGATTGGCTGCTGCCTCAGTGAGCATAGCAAGGTTATGTGATGATAGCTCTAGCGTTGATTGGTGCACTGATGCACGAGCCATCTTCACCCCATCAAATCGGCAAACACGAATCTATACAAATAGAGATAAATATTGGGTTATGAATAAAGATAAGATAAGTTCTGAACTCGCCTGATTGCCAGCTTTCGATGCATATCTATATCGTCTATTTTAGCTAAGGAAACCTCTACCAACTCTACCCCTATAATCTCTATCAACTCTACACCCTAGTATTCACGCCCCATAATTATTTTCTATGGCGTTTTCTATGAACTCTACTACAGTTCGTCGTGTCCTAGAGGTTAGGTTTACCGAGATGGATGAGGTCGGCATGCTTTATGATGTTATAGGCATGATGAACGTATGCTACAGAATGCAGATTCTATGGTTATGCATAGAGGGGTTATAGTATACTAGTTGCTGAATCAAACGGCCAAATACAAACTCGTTAAACATATGCGATTTGAGATCTTGACTGCTCTTAGCCTTTACTAGACGTCTAGCTTTGGTAGTGATGCTGTTCAAAGGTTCGACGCACGAGCCATCTGAGTAACGGCCACCCTACCGATCATTGGTGCAGCCATGCACGAGCCATCTTGACCCTATCAAACCGTCAATCACGAATCTATACATATAGAGGTGAATACTGGGTTTATAATAAAGGTAAGATCATTTCTGAGCTCGCCTAATTCTCAGCTTTCGATGCATGTCTATATAGTCTATTTTAGATAAGAAAACCTCAATGAAGCTGACCCCCTGTCGTTTCAATGAATCTGACCCCTTGTCTTTAGGGACCCATTTCTATTTCTATGGGCATTTCAATGAATCTGAGTCGGATTCATCGTTGTCTGTATGTTAGGATTTCAACCATCACCTAGTAGGTGTTTGTAGTTGCCAGTATGTTAGGATTTCAACCATCACCTAGTAGGTGTTTGTAGTTGCCAGTATGTTAGGATTTCAACCATCACCTAGTAGGGAGGAGCAGATTTCAGTAATTCATCATTCTACCCCTAACTGCAGTTGGCCTCTGAAAGCTTCCACCCTGCGTCAGCAACCCAACTTGACACATGTGGACGGTGGTGTTTTAGCTTCCAATTGATGCAATATAAAGAGCTTTACAATATTCGCCGCCTTGTACTTTGACATCAGCGACCTTGATAAGAAGCGTCTGGACTATGTTGTCATAGGCTTGGGATGATGCAGCCTAAAGAGCGTTGCCATAGAAGCATCTGGACGATGTTGTCATCGCCTCTAAATGATGCAGCCTGAAGAGCGTTGCCATACTTGCCGCCTTGAGCGTTGACATCTGCGCCCTTGTTGAGAAGCATCTGGACGATGTTGTCATCGCCTCTAAATGATGCAGCCTGAAGAGCGTTGCCATACTCGCCGCCTTGTGCGTTGACATCTGCGCCCTTGTTGAGAAGCATCTTGACGACGTTGTCGTGGCCCCTAAATGATGCAGCCTGAATAGCGTTGCCATACTCGCCGCCTTGTGCGTTGACATCTGCGCCCTTGTTGAGAAGCATCTGGACGATGTTGTCATCGCCTCTAAATGATGCAGCCTGAAGAGCGTTGCCATACTCGCCGCCTTGTGCGTTGACATCTGCGCCCTTGTTGAGAAGCATCTTGACGACGTTGTCGTGGCCCCTAAATGATGCAGCCTGAATAGCGTTGCCATACTCGCCGCCTTGTGCGTTGACATCTGCGCCCTTGTTGAGAAGCATCTGGACGATGTTGTCATCGCCTCTAAATGATGCAGCCTGAAGAGCGTTGCCATACTCTCCGCCTTGTGCGTTAACATCTGCGCCCTTGTTGAGAAGCATCTTGACGACGTTGTCGTGGCCCCTAAATGATGCAGCCTGAAGAGCGTTGCCATACTCGCCGCCTTGTGCGTTGACATCTGCGCCCTTATCGAGAAGCATCTGGACGATGTTGTCATCGCCTCTAAATGATGCAGCCTGAAGAGCGTTGCCATACTCTCCGCCTTGAGCGTTGACATCTCCGCCCTTGTTGAGAAGCATCTGGACGATGTTGTCATCGCCTCTAAATGATGCAGCCTGAAGAGCGTTGCCATACTCTCCGCCTTGAGCGTTAACATCTGCGCCCTTGTTGAGAAGCATCTTGACGACGTTGTCGTGGCCCCTAAATGATGCAGCCTGAAGAGCGTTGCCATACTCGCCGCCTTGTGCGTTGACATCTGCGCCCTTATCGAGAAGCATCTGGACGATGTTGTCATCGCCTCTAAATGATGCAGCCTGAAGAGCGTTGCCATACTCTCCGCCTTGAGCGTTGACATCTCCGCCCTTGTTGAGAAGCATCTGGACGATGTTGTCATCGCCTCTAAATGATGCAGCCTGAAGAGCGTTGCCATACTCTCCGCCTTGAGCGTTGACATCTCCGCCCTTATCGAGAAGCATCTGGACGATCTTGTCGTGGCCTTTTTCTGATGCAATATAAAGAGCGTTGCCATAGTAGCCGCCTTGAGCGTTGACATCTGCGCCCTTATCGAGAAGCATCTGGACGCTGTTCTGGCGACCCTCTAAAGACCCCCAAATGAGTGGTGTGTAGCCCGCTGTGGCCTTTGAGTTCAACGCAGCGTCGTCTGAGGCAAGTAGTCTCCGTAACACTTCGTCATGGCCATTCAATGCAGCCAGATGTACACTGTTGAGGCCACTCCTCACTTGGTATGGATAGTTTGTTTGCCAAAAGATTGAGACCCATGTTTCGAATCGCTGGTTTCGCATGTCATACAGCCGCAAGATCTGCTTTTGCAAGCCCTCCTTTGGATTATTTGCTCCTCGTAAGTGTGATGGCCAGTGTATTGCAGAATATTCCAAAAAGGGGTATTGTGCTGTATTGTTGTCTGGCTTATGTGTATCAGCACGGAACCGATCCTCTTGAGTATCCCCAATTGACAAATATTGAACACAAATTTGCGTCATTATCGTGTCTGAATCTGGTCTGTAGAGGGAGTGTTTCCAACAGCTATCTGCTGAAGAGGCGGGAATATCCTGTGCAACTAGAAATTCCTTGGCTGTCTGGTGTATTAGATAGATGCGGTCGTCGTTGATAAACACAAAAAGCCCGCAAAGCTGCCGTATATGTAGCTTGAGATTGGTGGAGTTAAGGTCGAGGTCCTTATGTGCCTGAACAACTGGTGAATCTGGGGCCAACTGGAAAGCCACAGCCATTTCCAACAGTGTGAGCGGTCGGCGGGCGGCAACAACGATGTGAAGAAGAGTCTGCGCCTCTCCTCGTTGATTGGAGTTAAGGCGGCCTAATATATTCTCGTACGCATCTTCCACCTTGGTCGGGAGAGTATTAATCGTCTTTATGAACGCATGTTTTGGCCACCCTGGGCTATGATAAATCTCATCCATTACAAGGTGAAGCCAGAGATATGTTCGATGCGGAACTGCGAAGAGCTTTTCTTGCAACACGTCTTGGACTTCCTGACTTATTCCGAGTTTATGCCCGGCTGTGGCTACCTCGTGTCGAATGACGAGGTTGATTTCCTCGCTAATATCAGCATTACTCTCTTCTCCAGCCAGACGAATCGTTTGAGGCTCAGGAATGTTACGAAACTCAGTTTCGATGTCCTGATATGGTCGACTAGTCACAAGGAACTTGATTTGAAACTTCCCCGTCGATATCGTTGGTTGGTTGTGGAAGTTTGTTAGAAACCGAATGAGTTTTTGTCGGTCATCAACGCAGCACTCGTCCAAAGCGTCCAGAACACAAGTAACACTGACTGCTTGATCGTCCTTGCCAGCCGCTATGAAGGTACGCCACAGCTCATCCACTTCAGTCTGCAGTTTCTCTCCGTTCTTTTCAAAGGCCGCCATAGCTTGGCGGATAAGGAGTGGTTGATAATAGAAAAGCTGATGAAGAATAGCACATAAGGCTGTCGCGAGGCTGTTTTGGTCGTCGTTGTCCTTAAAGAAGAAGTAGCACACTGTATGCTCGTTCGATTGATTTATCTCCTCGTCAATAAGGGATTTGGCCAACACAGACTTTCCACAGCCTGGGTCAGCCGAAATCCAAAGGAGGTCATCCTGACGGCTCTGCTGCCATTTTGTGTATCGTGGATGCTCTAACACCCATTTGCATGTGCCCGGGACTCGGTCAGGGTTGATATTCTTGAACTTCTCATATGCGCTCGTTTTGAATGTTTGATGGCAATCAACCTGTTTTTGGCTCTCATATCTGATCTCCTGCTTCTGCGTCTGTGCCGAGATGGCCGTATTTGTGTTAGAAACAAGCTTATGAAGGTGAGGATCTGCATGAGGCATTAGTACCTAAATATTCCTTAAAAGAAAGTTCAACTAGGGAGATAAACTCAAACAATGAATTTTGCATAACTTATAGAAGGACAAAATAATTAGAATATTTAGGCTAGGAATTATCTACTTACCAGACACCAACTGCGGTATAAGCTTCTCCTGCAGGACCCTATTTGGCGGTATGACTGAAAGGAGCTCCTTTGTAAATGCGGCCGCTGTTATAGCTGCGTATTCTTGCCACTGGTTGTTCTTATGAGAGTCCGCGTAGTCGCAAATACCACGGATGACTAGGCATGGGAAATCTTGTAGTCCTGCAGCCTCCATCTCGAAGCAGAGCACCCCAAGGTCTTTGCTTAACTTATCGCGTGTCTTTCCATGCTTAATTACCTGATTGCCTGAGGCAATATTGCCGTAATGAATAACTGGATTCGTGTCGTCTCTGTCCTCCCGCTGAATCTTCTGCTTAGGATCACACTCATCACAAGTAGAGTCTGAATCGACGTGGTCGTACTCTACTTGGAAAAGGTAATCGTGGAGAGCGCCCTGATGACTGAACTTCTTCTTCATGATCTTTGGGCTTTTGCTAATAAGCTCAGATATAAAGTGGGGGATTCTGCTGTCTTCGATTAGGTGATCGGCCTGGAGACGACCCAGGGCGGCTAACAGGACCTGGGGTGGTGCGTTGAGCGATCCTGTGCGTTGGAACTCTCCCTCCTGTACTGTCTTCCCCCGATCGTACTGGATAACACCTCCACTTGTTTCAGCGGGTTGGCTAACCACGATATCGCCCAGCCGGATATCATGTTTTCGCGACGGTACACCACCGCCGATTCCAACCATCAAGCCGAACCGGATTGACTTGAAGGTCCGCAGCAAGTCCTTCGCGACCGTGGCAGCTGGTGTTGTTCCATAGATGCCTGCAGGCAGGCAGGCGATAACGACGTTGTGGCCTTGGACCTGACCCAAGACGTAGCTGTTATGGTCGGCTGGATCCTGCCAGGGCAAGTTCGGATGAAGCTGATCGAGCATCCCTTTCGCGGCAGCCATTTCCAGCGGGAGGGCACACACCCAGCCCACAGTATAGTCCTCTGCGACAAGAGCATCTCCCCCCGGCCGATCAACACCAGTCTTTCTCTTTTTTCCGGGTTGGAAGTCATCGGCATCAGAGTCTGACAACGCCATTAGAAAGGACTGGTAAGGACTGGCATCCCAGACTCCGAGGGAGCTTACCAGGTGCTGAGGTACGGCCATGCTTGAGCAAGCCGCTCTTGCTTTCTGCGGCGCTCTTATTATTATCATCACGTGACTCTTTGGTATTCGGATCGTACATCTTTCGTCGGTAGGCTGCTGGCGATCGTATCTTCGGGTTAAGTTTTAGTAGGTCGATTATATAGCAGGCATAAAATATTAGAAATCTAGCTCCGCTAGGCTTAAACAGATTATAGAGGCATTGATTCCGCAGCTTTACGAGGGGAAGTCCTGCTTCTTAAACGTAAAGTGCTAGGTCAGCCTCACGTTAAACATTACCGATAAACTGCTGCAGTCCAGGGCCCGACCCCTCATTATTTCCGCTCCGACCTATCATTTGCTGAAGGACAACTTCTCAACATGCGTGGATGCCTGAGATGAATCTGCCAAGGCCAAATGCACAGGCTGCAGCGCTTGCCAGTCAATTCTGCCTTGTGCAGGCTAAGGACTCACAAGAATCCGCCTGGGCGTCAACGTCGAGGCTTATCGCGGGCCTCGGAAATAACAAATAGAAGGTTATTTACACAGGGTGCACTGGCATAAGCAGGATTGGTACCACTTGCCCGGAAGTGCACTTTGCTGTTCTCAATATAAAGCAATCATTCGTTGGTGGGAATGAAGCTACCTTACACGACTTCTGATTACAAGCCGGAACTGGCCAATCCCGCTGTTGTAAGTGTAATCCGGCAGCCATCTCTGACTTCGCGTTGTACACCACAAAGAGTACGAAGAGGACACTAAATTCGCACATAGCTGTACTGTGTGAGGCTATTCTGAGTACTTACGTAGTTCTGTCACATCTGATATATATGCCATATGAATCTGTGTATCTATTGTCTGGGAAACTCTGGATACTTCCGAATTATCTCATCGTCAGCTGGGGTTACTCCACCCACTCCCCTTCGCGTCACTAGACCTAACACGGCGACCTCGTTATCCTTCAAGAAGCCAACAAGGAACATACTTCACGTTCGCTAGGTTTTTCTTATATGAACAGGTAGGTAACATAATCGAACTTATTGTCTCCCGCTGGATTTCGGATCTCCCCGGCTCTGACGACCACACTGTTGCTAGCCATTGTTCTCCCCGTAAATAGTATCGAACGCCGGATAACTATCCCATCGAGTGCTGAATGGCAACAGTACATCCAGTGAGGGGTAATAGCCACTCAGAGACCAGCCAAGCCTTTTTCCAACCAATCAAAAGGCCTAGTTTTCTAGTACCTCTTCCGTCTATATATTCTGGTTATGAAATAGGTACCAGCAATCTTTTAAGTTACAAATCGCAACCCCAATAGGGAGGAACCCATAGGGGTAAATGACGTACCGTCGTGTATCGCTGTTGTGAGGGGGAAAAGTGGGTAATAATTGGGGGGGGGGATGTACTGTTGCCATTCAGCACTCGATGGGATAATAACGCCGTTGGCCTCCTACCCTCGTCCCTTTGCTATGAACGACGACGCGGCTGAGAAGCCTTATACGCCATCCCCGAGCAAATAACGTCGAGTATACAACGATACTGGCGACATCCATCGCGTGCGTCGCGTTCTTTTCCTCAGATCATTAGCCAAACCAATTCGGATATTGGCACGTTCCGAGTCATTCTCGCGATCCAATACCTAGCGTGATGATGTGCGGACGTATATTAGCCATGGTTCCGGGCGAATGTACTCAACTGGGGGACGACGGCACTCTTGAAGATTCGTCTTGCTGAGCGCCATATATTACTTAAATACTTCTTGAAAAGATGTTACGGATTGTTGGAAAATGCCCAAGAGATGGCCCGGCTTGAGCATACTGTCGCTGACCTTGCGTACGTCGCTCGCGGAATACCTCGTATTCTTATTCGTGGTTCGTAGGCATAGTGTTGGGGATCATGCCTCTTCGATCTTTGATGGTCTTGTGCCAGTAGCCGCCGAGAAGTGTCGACCCTCGATGGTCAAGGCATGCTAGCCATTATTAATGGCTGGACGTGATTGTTTGAACACCCCCAGGCCACTCGCCTACACGGGCCTGGCTTCGCAATACAGATGAGGCCGCGCCCAGCCAGGCTGCCTATGTCTCCCGCATGGAGACCTCAGCGTGTTGGTAGACGACAGGGAGATAGCTTGTGCACAACTCGAGAAGGTACACAGGCGAGATTGTTTGGATCCACTGTTAGTGCGGCCCATCGTGCCCTTGCACTATGCGCCAGCAAGGATAAATAGGGCCCAGCCATATCTTGCGATGAACCGCAAGGCCGGGGGTGTAGGCACACGCCTCCCTGGCTCTGCTGCCTGCCAACTATGAACATGGGTACTTCACCCAGCGGCATGGGGCGTGCCTGACTTTTTTTCTGAGCAAGGGACAGACTTTAATCTCGCTGTGGCTTACTCTGACGCCCTGGAAGCAAGCCAGCTGCAGCTCGTCTCCGAATCCATATCTAGCCCAGCTTTGGACGTAGACACCACCGCCTCCTGCCCCGTCACCAAGCCCGCCGACGCGCACGACGCCCTCGACGCGATAGTCGACTGGCAGGCCGAGGCCAAGGTCCCCGTCCGCGTCAGCCTCGTGGACGCGGGCACGCTATTTGTCAAGGACAAGACGTACCTCCTCGTCGGGCTTTCGCAGTCCATGGGGCGTTCGATCGCGGCGTGGATCGTCAAGCATGCCGGGCGGTATGTTGTGTTATCTAGCCGGAATCCCGAGAGGCTGGAGGCCGGGTGACTTGAGGATATGGAGAGGGTCGGCGGGAAGGTGACCGTGCTCGCCATGTAGGTCTCGGCGGCATCCTGTTGGAGAGTCACCATCATCTGACAAGAATAGCCAAAAATAGATATAGGGACGTATCCAAGGCAGAATCTGTCGACGCCGGCACTCTTTGCGATGTATATAACCTGCCGCGTGGGTGGTGTGGCGTACGGCCCGCTGGTGCTCAGGGACGCGCTGCTGAAGAACATGGACCTGGCGACGATGGACGTGGTGTTCACGTCCAAAGTCCCGGGCGCCAAGATCTTCCACGACCGGTTCTGCGATCCGGACAAAGGACCCGCTTGACTTCTTCGTCATGTTTTCTAGTACCGCGCTGTTTGGTGGTAATCCGGGCCAGACGAATTACACTGCTGCCAACGCGTATCTGCAGGCGCTGGGGCAATACAGGCGGAGCAAGGGTCTCGCTGTAAGTTGTTTTTATTTTATTTTGTTTTATTTTATTGTATTCAATATACTATTTGGTAAATGTGCAAGCCGACAAGCTGACAAAATACCAGGCCTCCATAATCCACATCGGCGCCGTGATGGGCATCGGCTACCTGACCCGCAACAGCCGCGAAGCCGAATTCCTGACCCTCTTTGCCGAGGCAGTCGTATCCGGCCGCCGGGTCCACGGCGTCGACGGCGTGCACGCCAAGAAGGCCATTGACATGTCCGAGACGGAGATTGGTAGCGGTATTCCCGCGCTGGAGTCGCGGCACAAGGAGACCATCAAGTTCTACCATGACCCGCGATTCGGGAATCTGAAGACGCCGGAGAGCAGGGGCGATGCCGCTGATGCGGGCGGGAGCAAGATGGGCGTCAAGGAGATGTTGGCAACGGCGACGACGATGGAGCAGGTTCGGGCGGCTATTAGTGGGGTTGCCGTGATGGGCCGGAGCTGACGGTGCAATGATACAACAGAGAAGAGAGCCTCTCCGACAAGATGCGCGGCGTGCTTCATATCCCGCCGGAAGAGAGCGTCAACGCGGCCGCTCCCCTCCTGGACCAGGGCATCGACTCGCTCGGCGCCATCACCGTCGCTTCATGGTACGCAGGCGCTCACTCCCACTCTCACCGATTCCCCACCACAGCACAGTCCACTAACAGCAAGCTTCACACCCATAGGTTCTCTAAACAACTCCTCGTCGACATCCCCATTCTGCGCGTCCTCTCCGGCGCGTCCATCGACGACCTAGCAGCCGAAGGCGCCTCCCGCCTCTCCTTGGCCGCCATCACGTGCCACCAAACCTCCCGCACGGCCTTCCGCCCCTCGGAAGCCTCCGCCCCCACACCGCAGCTGCACGTCCTCCCCGCCCCGACCTGGGGCCTGCGCGCCGTCTCCGTCGCCTCCCGCGCCGAGGCCGACGCCGCGCTGGCCAAGCTGCAAAAGGAAGCCTACGACCTGGCGAACGGCGAAACCTTCAAAATCGCCCTCTCCACTTGGTCGCCCACGGCCCACCTCCTTTGTGCTCGCCTACCACCGCCTGGCCGGCGACGGCTCTACCACCGAAAACCTCGTCGCCGAGCTGTCCCAGCTCTACGCCGGCGTTGTCCTCCCCCCCCCCGGCACCGCAGTACACCGACTTCTTCGCGGTCAAACAACGCACCCTCCTCGCCTCGGGGGGCATGGACGCGTCCATTGCGTACTGGACGTGTCTCTACAAGCCTCTGCCCGCACCGCTCCTGCTGCTGCCCCTCCCCGGCGCGAAGCGCGCCCGAGGACCCGTGAGCTGGGACCAGCACACCGCCTTGTCCCGCCTGTCTGCCGTGTTTGCGTTTAGAATCAAAGAGCGCACCAAGAAACTCCGGACGACGCCCATGACGTTCTATCTTGCGGCGTACGCCGCGCTGCTTTCGAATCTGTCCAAGCAGGCGCAGGTATCCATTGGCTTAGCCGACACGAACCGCTCGTCCGTGGCGGACTTGTCCACCATGGGGTACTTTGCCAATCTGCTGCCCTTGCGCCTCCACGCCTCCTCCGATTCCTTTACCGCCACCATCGAATCCGCCAAGGGGGCGGTACGGCAGGCCATGGCGCACTCGGTCGTGCCGCACGACGTGATCGCGGCCCGTCTAGGACTGGACGATACGGTCGTCTTACCATGGGCGATGACGTGCGCGCCGCTATTCCAGGCGGTCTTTGATTACCGCCAGGGGGCGGCCGAGTCTGGGGCCGTGGGCGGTGCGCGGATCGTTGAGGTAGTGGCGAGCTGGGAGCGCACGCCGTATGATGTTCTGGTGGAGATGAGTGATGATCCGACGAGGGATCCGCTTGTGACTGCCAAGTTATAGAGCAGCGTGTATAGGGAGGGTGATGCGGAGGTGTTGCTTGGGAGGTATATTGAGTTGTTGACGGCGTTGAGCAAGGGGAATGCTATTTAAATCGTTCTTGGCTAGGTAATAAATGGTTTGTTTGTTTGTTTTTGTTTTATATTTAACGCCATGGCGGCAAGGACGATTTGGCGGTGACGAAGAAATGGCCGGCGCAGTTTTATATCTTGCAAGTCGGGCTGGCTCATTCTGCAATGGTCTCATGCTTCTCAATGACGGTGGCCGAACATCAGTCATGCAATCGGAGTACTGATTTACTGGTCGTCGACATGATTTTCTAAGGTAAGATTGGGTTTCATCACAGGCATGTTACAAGTCCGTTTGCATTTGGGATCTCTCCGAGAAAGAGTAACTCTCTTTGATACCTGTTTCAATTCGATCTTTTCATGCCCGATATTCGGAATGCATCATACTAATGCAATTCCTGTAATGTCGCCCAACTCCGAAAACAACACAGTCTTCTTTCGAGTTTTCGTATCAACAGAGTAGACGCCGCCGGCAAGGTCTGTCACGTACGCTACCCCAGCCCGCTGATCCAGTGATAAACCAATGGTTTCGTGTAGCCGTATAGCCAGGGTTTCCCGTTTCCCAGCATCGGACATCATGGCTCGATTGAGAGTGTTTCCGGCAGGAGGATCTCCCCGATCTGTCCAATATAGCGCGCCATTTACCTCGTCGATATCAAGGTCGATTGGCTCGGGTAGTTTGCCAAATACCATTTCGATTTGTTTGGATCGGTCTTCGAAAGAGGCGTGTATCGGTGCACGGAAAATCCGTCCTTGGTTGCCCTTTGATGGGCCTTTCTGTGTCCAATAGAAGACATCTTGCTGTTCGTCTACAGCGACACCAACGCACCACGTCTTCTGATCCAATCTCTCCTCTTCAGTGTTACCCGTTGAGACGAGGATCTCGACATCAGAGCCATCCAAGCTGGCTCGCATGACTTTCATTCCCTCCCGATCACACCAGTATAGCTTTTTACTTTGCTCCGCAATAGTGATTTGCTTCGGCGTGAAGACACCCGTAGTACCTTCTGGTACAATGACTTGTCGATTTGAGCCATCCAGGTTGGCTCGTTCGATCGAGCCGTCGTTTGACTTGAAGCTAGATCCCATATTTGTCCAGTACATGTGGTCATTGGCGTGATCGATCGCTATTCCGTCGGGGAGAGTTGACATGTTGTCTATCACAGTCCTAAGGTCGCTTCCATCGGTGAGGCATGATAAAATGCGTCCTCGGCGACTCTCTGGCGGATGGGACAGGTCTGTGTCGAGGATGTAGAGGCGTTGTTGGTAATAAGAACCCATGTTGCCCCCTTAGGTAGATTTACAATTAGGGTATAGGAAGGTAGTAATACAGTGTGTTGGTTGATCAGGAAACATTGGTCGATTATCGTCTTGAGATCAGGTAGACGGCTACCAACTATTCTTATGACATTGCACTTACTCTGCGTCATTCGAAGCCTTCGGATCGTCAGGCGAAGGGGGAAAAGTTTTCAATTACGTTTTTTTGGCCCCTGCTGAGAACTTCCCTGCTTCTCAAATTGATCCGCTGTCGGCCACTCCTGAACTTCCGACAAAGTCGGTATTCGCACTTCGGTCTTCATGACATGCGCATAGCGCTGTTGTATCCGTAGGTCCACACTGTTGTCATGCAACGCGGACCCGATCTCTTTAGCACGGGATTGATTCCGCACTGGTCAGGCAGCCCCCACTCGGTCCACATGGCACCCAAGTCAGCGACGGTTGAGATTTTTGAGAATTGTGAGATCACTCCTAACGAAGAACAGATCAACAAGAAAAGAAGGTGGCATACCGAACAGTCGGATTCGATGCCTCTGTGAAGTTGCGCGAGTAGTCTTCTATTCCTACCCCTGAACCACCTGTATGACAGCTCTTGGGTCGTCAGCGATTGAGACTGTTTGATTCTCATTTAGGCACCTAACCTGCAGGCTGTATGCTCCGGCCCATCTCACGACCAAGGTCCATGTGCATCGGACTATCAAGTAATTAATCGGTTGCCTAACGACCAATTTTGATCAAAAGGAAACGATTCTATCATGGCGAAAAAAAGAGTCATTTATAACATGAAATATTAATTATATCTAAGAACAAGCTCTAAATGAAAAGTTCGCATGCAGTGAAACAACTGGGGTTACTACTTTGCCATTGATCCCTTGCTTGCTTCTGCATAGCCATCCCATTCTTGCCTTACGTTCAGGAGTCTTACCAACTCTTCGTCGCGTTGCTTCGCGAGCTGTCGGTAGGCCCTGTCATCTACGGCCTGTCTCGTTCCCAAGACCCACTTCTGCCTCAATTCGTCTGTTACTTGAGGGTCTTCAGGCGCGTACCAAGACATCAAGGGTCCCAGTAAATGTTCCGCCATGTACTCAATCCCGCCCTCACCGCCTCCCAGGTGCAGTAACATGTTCGGACCCATGACGCCCCACCGTAGACCAGGGCCGTAACTCATTGCTTTGTCGATGTCCTCAACATTGGCAACGTCTTCCTGTAGTAAGTACATGACCTCTCTCATCAAGGCTGCCTGAAGACGGTTGGCGACATGACCGACGACTTCTTTTTTAACGTGCACTGCCTTCTTCCCAATTCTCTCGTAAAATTCCATCGTGGTGCTGACAGTTTCAGATGATGTCTGGCTACCGGCAACTACCTCCACGAGGGGGATGAGGTGCGGAGGGTTGAAAGGATGGCCAACAACACACCGCTCAGGCCGGCTCGATGTACTCATTCCGAGCTGTATGCTTGAACAAGTCAAGCCACTGCTGCTCGTAGCGATGATTGTGGTTGGCAGAACAATATTCGCCATGTCGTTGAATAATTTGCGCTTGAAGTCCAATTTCTCCGGCCCGTTTTCTTGCACAAAATCGGCTTCTGTGAGAGCCTCTGTCATGTTTGTCGTGAAGAAGATGTCTTGTGCTTTAGCTTCGGCGTTCTTGACGAGACCCAGAGTCGAAAGAATAGGTAGTGCGTCGGTAACAAGGGTTCGAAGGAACGTCTCAGCAGCAGGGTTGACATCGAAAGCCGATACTTGGAGGCCTTGCGCTAGGAATAGAGCAGCCCAAGAGGCTCCGATAGAGCCGCAGCCCACAATAGCGACCTTTTGAACATGCGACATGCTCAAAGATGGAGATACGATTGGTTTCTTTTGTCGGAAATTGTGTAAAAGAGGTGATACTTGAGAAGGGTGTTGTGTTGCAGTATCTTAGTTTAGTGATGGTGTTGTATCACAGTTGATGAAGCTTATGAGATTTTAAGAAACGGAGGGAATCAGCGTGGCCACCGAGGGAAAGATCAAGGCTGACATTTATGGTGAAATAAAACTAGTAAGCTTTTACAGATTACCTATGGTGGCTGTTCAGAGAGCAGCATCCTTAATCCTAAGAGATTGGGTCATCGTGGATACATGCAAGAGCGGCCTACCGGCGCCTCCGAGATAGAGAAGAAGATCACCGGGCCGACGTTGGGTCCAAAGTCTCGAAACTCCGAATAGTTCTAGAGCCCACAATGCCGACGAGTGGATACCGATGAGATGCCGTTCTACGGGGTAGCGGGCATAATTCCGCGCGCGGAATCACTGTGGCGGGTCTGCGACTCATGCGCCAGCTCCGGATCGTCAAAGCTTGGCTCTCCCGGCCCCGCATTACTGCTGCTGGAGCTTCTCGAAAACTTCTCTTGTAATGAATCCTCAAGAGTTGAAACATGACTCTGTTGCAAAAGAGACAAGGCAGCTAGGTAAACATACCACATGTACGGAATGGTCAAATGTGGTCTCCGTTCGGACCCAACGTCATTCATGCTACGTAACCATTCAAAGATCCTGGCTTCTGCTGGAGATCTCGACCTCGAGCTCCGGCGTTCGCGTTGATTTCGCACCCGACAAGTGGATCCCATACCCGCATCATTCGGCTCACATTTACCGTCGATCTGAGTCCGAGCAACGTCATTTCTCTCCGTTTTCTGCCCCACAACATCGGCCTCGTGCCGCATATTCCCGCAATGCTCCCAGTTGTCATTCTTCCGATAACGGTTACACCAAATCACTTTGCGGCCCTTCCGAGAATTCTGGACTCATGTTCCGCTCTATTTCCGCGAGTTTTGTCGTTGTCAACTACATATTAGTCTTTACGGCGAAAGCTGTTAAGGAACACCATATTTAAGTCCACCACCCTCTTTGGCTAACTTACCCGTCCTCTTCATCACAACAATTTGACCAGTACACACGGAGGCCCTACCACTTCGAGTCGACACGAATTCATACACTATATTCAAACTTACGCAGCCTCGTAATAATCATCCTCGCCCGTCACTATGGCATCAGAAAGGATTCCCGGCATCTACGGTCCTGGCACCTTCACAGACAAGACCTTCACCCCAGTACCCGAAGACACAGAGCGGATTTTCCGCCTCATAGCAAGCCAAACCCCGGGATTCACTCAAGATGAGCGTCTTCTTTCCAAAGTCAATTTTTCCGGAGAGGCGTACCCCGTCATTCCCGGCCCGATCAAGGCAGTTTCTGTCGCTGCCGCTCTTCACGCTATGACCGGCGTTCTTGCGGACGAAATTCTAGCCATCCGGGGCGTCAACAAGGACGACCGACAGATTTCCGTCAACACCACACACGCAGCTGTCTGGTTTGGCTGCATAGCCACTGCATTCCTCGACGGTATGGATGTTGTCAACATGGTCAAGCAGGGTCAACTTAAGAGCTTTCTGCCGGACTGGGAACACGGCTGGACCGATACTGCCCTCAAATACCGTGCGACCGGCCTCTACCCAACCAGCGATCCTGAAGTGTGGTACTCCCTTCATGGTAGCATGAACGCTGATCCAGTCCTGCGCTCTATCGGCGTTGACCCGTCAGCACCTATTAAGTCTAACGACGAAGCGGCCGCGCACATTGCTGAGCACACCGCAAAGCTTAGCCCAGAGAAGATGGAAGTCACAAACCTGTTGAATGGATTTTGCGGCAGCATCTGCTTTACTCCCAAGCAGTGGCGCGAGTCTGAGATGGGACGGTCTCTTTGCAGGCACCCTCTAGTCAATGTCAAAAAGCAGGAGCAGACGATCCCGACACCGCCAATTGCGTTCCCGCCTCTCAGCCCCAACGACAAACGACCCTTGGCAGGAGTCAAGGTTATTGAGATGACTCGAGTTATCGCTGGGCCAGAGATTGGAACCATTCTTGCCGCATACGGCGCAGACGTGATCCGCGTCAACCCTCCCCACCTTCCGGATATCAACATCATGCAGCTCTCACTGAACGCCGGCAAACGCACTATTGCCATTGATCTCCGAAAAGAAGAGGATGCCTCAATCCTCAAATCGCTCGTTTCCGAATGCGATGTTTTCATCCAGGGGTTCCGCATCAACAAGATGCCTAAATTCGGCCTCGGGCTGAACGAACTCTTGAAGATGGCTGGGGATCGTGGCCGAGGCATCGTTTATGTCACCGAGAACTGCTATGGACCGGACGGATATTATGCTGAGCGACCTGGTTGGCAGCAAATCGCTGATGCTGCGGCTGGTTCTGCCTATGTCACAGGAAGGTCTTTGGGGCTTCCGGATAACGAGGCTGTGCTTCCAAGCTTGCCTATTTCTGACATGTCCACTGGTGTCTTGGGCGCGGTCGGGGCGATGCTTGGACTGAAGCGACGCGCAACTGAGGGCGGAAGCTACTATTCACATGCCAGTCTTGTGGGTGTCAACGCCTTTGCCCTTACCGAAGAGGTCGGTCTCTACCCTGAGACCACTGTTGAAGAGTGCAAGCAGCGCTTCCAATGGGGAGAAATGAGGGGTGCTCATCATGTTCTGGATCTCCTAGTGACTGTCTGGAATGGGTGGACAAGGGTTCTTGGTGACTTCTTCAATCCCGAGGGCGAGTGGTTCCAGAGTTTTGATTCAAGTGCCTTTGATAAAAAGCGCTTGAGTATTCTGAGACCCGTGGTCAAGTTTGAGGGAGAAAAGGAAACTTCTCCCGAATGGAAAACTCCTAGCATTCCTTACGCGTTCGAGAAGGCCGAATCTATCAAATTCCTTTGAGCAAAAGTCTTATGTGTACCTATAGCATCTTACAATAATACATTCACACCATGCGCATACAAATAGCTTGATAGATCAAAACAATATGTACTGTTGATACAGCCGCGAATCGAATTCATTCATACGGCAGAAGACTCCACGCAAGCTACCAAGATATCGTCACATTCATAGGTCTAAGACCAGTATCCGAGATGGATTAGCTCACGATCCGCCTTTCCCCAGACGGACTAGATCATCTTTCTCAAGTGTATCCTTCTCAAAGCCCAATATTGACTGATTCAACATTGCACTCGAGATTTCATTGACCCCAATACTTGGCAATGATATAGTCCAGCTTAATACATACGCAAGAGCCATCTTCATAAAGTCGTTGGGTGCGGTTATCAGTCCAGGCTTGACAACACATGCGTCGGTTTGTAGGTCGTGCTGTTTGGCGAGAGCCAAGACCGCGGTCTCAGTCTTTCCCTGTCACAGAAGATTGTCAATAAATACCTGATTGACGGAATGATGTAGGAAGCGTAATTTTGCAAGCCGGAGCTAATGCCCGAGTCATAACAAGAAAGAGAAAGGTGGGGAATGAATTCAACACACCCGCAAAAGTGAGTACTCGGGTTTGAAGCTTGGAGTTTTAGACTGGTCCCTCTCTGTCCTAGCACCACTCATGTATATGAAACGGAAAGGTGTATTATTGTTGGTGGCCGTTGACGAGCTACGGGCCTCCAGCATCGCCCGAAACCCGGCAAGAGGTGATTCGTAGCAAACTCGATGAATCTCATTCCAGTCATAAAAAGTCAATTTCGAAGGCGTAATAGCCACGGTCCTATAGCCCCGAGGAAGATCCTTTTCAGTACAAGTTCCGCTTTCAAGTTGAGGGCATAGGAATCTTGCCCTCCGAACGGACGTACCAGATACATGCATCAGCAGTGGCAAAGTCTGCTTTGGTCTCGGCAGAGTACTGGTCATATGCTCCAACGACGATATTTCTCAACTTCGAGGGGTCGACATCGGGACCAGGCTCTGCCTGAATCTCAAGCGGCTGACGGGAAAGAGCAATGACCGCGGTTACAGCAGGGGAACGAAGGCTCTGTCTCACCAACTCCCTCCCTACGAAACCGTTTGCACCTGTTATGATGAGTTTCATATGGGTGCAAGTGCCGGGCAGGAAGCCACTCGGGTTCTGAATATAAATTCAATGTCTGACGTGACCTCAAGGGACCCGTGCTCGCAAAATAGCTCGCTGAAACAAAATAGAATAGATCAACGTAGTCGGTGGCTTTCGGGGCGGCACCTTGTCTTCTACAAAGAATTTTGGTTGAGATCTAGAATTAGATAGAGGGGCACCGGCATATAATATACTTCATGAGTTCATTCCTCATTCCTACTCCTTCCCATACCATCCTTCAGATAATTCAGCGAATCAAGAATGAAATATGTCGTGGCGCAATCAGGGCGCCGGAGAAACGGGACCGAAAGAGACGGGCAATTCCTGATACCGTCACAGGAAGAACTTTTTTAATTTGCTACTCGTGTATGGACTTGATACAGTACACTTCAAATAAGTTGGGTACTTCATTCTCCTTACAAGCCACTGAGAACTCAAAGATTAGTTTCTAGGAATCGACTCTTGTAATCTTGATGGTATCTACTACAGAGTTGGTCTTCGGTAGGATTGATCAACATCGCATTATATTTTTACCACGTTGACGGCTCGTCAAAGAAGGTCTAATCTGAACCAACAAAAGTTGAATCCCTGCAAATCATTCGACACACAACTATCCAGGGCCTTCTGATATTTCGGGATTCCACCCATGAAACTCAAGGCTTCCCGCTGTTTTCCAGGAATGTTGCCGCCCATGTACCAGGTCGTCTTGTTGTGCGATAACAGCGTTGCGTTACAGAAGTCAGCCGTCAAACGTCCCCATTCCTGTTCGGCGGCGGGTTGGGGGTCAATTCTTGAAAGCCCCTTGTTTCGTAGATGAACCAGTGTCCCGATAATCCAATCACCCTGTATTTCGGAAATGACTGGTCCAATGGCAGTTGCCGTTGGACTCTGTGGTCCGTAGAGGAAAAATAAGTTCGGGAAACCTGAAGTCATCATACCCAACCAAGTACGTGCGTGTCCCAGTTTTCCACTCTTTGTTCAGTGACCTGCTTTTGAGGCCCCGAAAGTTGACTCTGCTGAAGCTTCCTGTGATTGCATCGAACCCGGTTGCGAGGATCAAAGCATCGAGCTTATGGAGAGTACCATCCTTCATCCTCACTCCATCCGGCAAAACCTTGTCGATGGGATTTTTCTTCAAAGCGACGAGATTGATATTGTTTCGGTTGAAAATCTGTCGCAGCGCCACACGTGGCGCTGCCGGTTACTGCCGTACGATACCGCTTTCCACAAGCCGATTACCCGTCTTGTACGGTATATAGATAGGACCCTCATACGGGTCTTCCACTTAGAGGAATCAAGCCACTTTCTGCCATACAAGTCTTCCACTTCCTACCTCGCTTTGTGATAGTTATGAGCCCAGGATTCTACCGGTAGCACAACCGTCTAAAGTGTAGCTTTGACGCATACCCACATCTAAAGCCTCAGGTTCAATTCCCGCTCGGGTAGGCAGTTTTGCCGCCTAATCAGGTCTAAAAGAGCCCAAGTGCCACCCAACAAGCCCAGAGCGGCCACGGGTAAAAGCGTACAGACCCCTACCCTTCCACAGGGCTAGGATCTGAGGGGGTGTGTCGTAGGATATATATGGCGTTAATTGCTGCCCGTAATTAACGGCGTCGTTTTTGCGACAAAATCTCATAGTAGTTTTGCTCCAGTGATGGCCGTTTCGTGCTGAAAGGATAGGGCAAGTTCTCTGGAGCGAGATTCTCGATCAATTCATCATCGTCCACGTGTATCCTATGTCGAACCTTTTCCCGCCAGAAGTTGTAGAACAAGTGGTTCGCCTCCAGGTTTGTCATAAAGTCCGAGTAGTTGCCATGAGTAGGCGCAAATCCACCCTCCTCCCATAGATTTTCAAAGAGATGTTGCTGCTGTTCGGGTGTGTCATCCATTTCCTTTCTGGTGACCACTGGGTATGTGAAACCAGCCCTAGACTTCTTCATTTGAGAGAAGAGGTCTTCGTATCCACTCTTATCTGCCTCTCCATCCCCCGAGATCTTCTGTCTCATCGGCATGGTACAATTTGGTGATCGCTGGAAAACCACAAGCTTCTCAGCTACAGGACCAATTTCCTGAACCAGTTGCACGCCTGTAGCTCCGGTACCAATAATTCCGACACGTTTGCCGGAAAGATCCAATGGCTCGTGGGGCCAATGAGCCGTGTGACACAATAACCCTTCGAAGCTTTCAAGACCATTCAAATCGGGAGTGTATGTCTTGACGGCAAAGCCCATCGCGGGTAGCAGGAAGCGAGCTGACATAAGCTGGCCTTGGTCGGTCATGATAGTCCAACGATTGGTGTTCGCATCAAATGTTGCATCAGTGACCTTCGCGCCGAAGGTGATGTCCCTACTAAGAGCCCACTTCCGGTCGACGAATTCGAAGTATTGAAGAATCTCAGGCTGGCTGGGATACTTCTCCGTCCAGGCTCATTCTCTCCAGAGCTCAGGATCAGAGAATTCATAGAAGGGAGTGGCAGTGTCGACACGGGCGCCGGGGTATCGGTTATGCCACCAAACGCCTCCCAATCCGTGGCCTTCCTCAACGAGTTGGACCTGGAATCCCTGTTTGCGTAGATTGCGAAGGAGATAACATCCAGCGAACCCTGCACCAATGACGATAACGTCTGAATACAGTTCTTTGGTGCGTGATGGCATTGTTGAGTTGGAACTTTTTCCAATTTGGCTGTGGTAGGTAATACGTGATGATGAGTATTACTCCTATGAATCGAGGTCTTTTTGGAATCATAAGAGTCTTATGTATGTTTCTTGATAGGCAATAGGCTACGTTGATGGGTGTATATGATCTTGTGCTGCGGCTTGCAATCACAATGCCTGTCAGGTTTGGATGCGTCAGGGTCTCCACTCGATCGTGCCTCCCTGAGCTCACGAAGTCAGACAGTGTCTCACGGCTATACTATCCGGTATTTATTAGATATCAGTGACTTGCCGTGTGGTGAGTTTGACGAACGATGCCCTCTTTGGCGCTCTTTCCGAGTATCGTCGGATGCGTTTCCCGTAGCGGCGCTCAGGTTGCGGGGGGTGGCGGGCAAACAGCTCCTTCACCAGAAGAGACGCAAAATAGACCGTGACAGGGCAGGGAGTATCTCGCATATCGCCTTGGCGTATGCCGGTGACGGGATTACATGCCACTTTTTTATTGCCGATGATAATGACCGGCGGGATATGGTCTGCTATCGAGTGACATGGTCTGGATTTGTCGGATTGCCGCAGCACATAAGATTCCCGCCTGGCCACGCTTGTTCATCCGCTTTCCAATTGTCCACGACAGATTGAGACTTCCCGACTGACTATAACCTGCCGTATCTTACATAGCCTTTTCCCGCCGACAACGATGACAAGTTGGGGAATGAGAAAATCGGCGTTGAAGACCTGCGACCCACGGGCAGTGTTGTTGAGGGTGACGTTGAAGACGACCGGAACGGCGAGTTCCACAGGTCCATTTCTCCACGTCAGATTCACGTCAGTCTCCATCAGACTTGAGAAGGCACGGTCGGATGCTCTACTTACCTTGATTGTAGATAATTTCTCTTGTTTCTAACCTTGGAAGTGCTGTTTTTATCGCAACTGGCAAGGCTTTAGCTACTGGAGGGCCCGGCAACATGGTCATCACCTACTTTATGGTCTGCAGCTGTGTCTGGGCTGTTCTTTAATCACTCTCCGAAATGACAATTGCCTTCCCGGTATCTGGTAACTATATAGACTATGCTGACCGCCGGGTTGATCCAGCGTTGGCTTTTGGTGCAGGATTCGCTGAGTGGCTTGGTGAGTGAAGCAAAAAGAGGCTCCCCGTTGACGCGGAATTGTTATTAACATTCGGGAAGGTTGGGCTGCGCTAGTAGCAGCTGAAGCAGGCTTCTTTCACGTTCTCCTTCGCTTCTGGGCTCCGGAATCCTTTCCCTAGGCCGCAACTAGTAAGTTTCGCGCATCTATGTGTGATTTGAGCCTTTAGTATAGAAATGAAGCTGATTTACCTCAATAGTTTCTCTATTCTTATTCGCATGCTTCGTCATTTTTCTCCTTCCCAACAAAGCCTTTGCCTGGTTTGAATACGTCACGTCTATTATCAAAATATTTCTCTTCTTGATCATAATCATACTCTCGTTAGCATTGGTGCTTGGACCCGGGCCAAACGGTTATCTGCACCGAGGAGAAAGTTGGACAAGACTCTCGCCGTTTCTCAACGGATTTACAGTGAGCACCAAATCTAGTATTCAATAAGTACATTGGATCTATCTAATACCGAGACAGGGATTCGCTAATTGTGCCCTCTTAGCAACATGGGCCGTTGGTGACCAAGTTTTCGTGGGCATCATGGGCGGCGAAGCTGATAGTCCTCGCTTCTCGATGGCTCATGCAACAAAGCTCGTTCCGTTTCGAGTGAACTTCATCTACATGCTCAGTCATATTTATAACAATCTTGGTACCCTCGAACGATGAAAGACTATTGGGTGGCAGTAGTGTTTCTGCCTCTCCTTTTGTCATCGCTGTGGAGAGCTCTGGGATCCGCGGCATATCCTCACTCCTGAATGCCGGGATGATGTGCGGCGTTCTGGCAATCGCCGCCGAGTCCGTATACCTGTCTTCTAGAGTCCTGCGCTCTATGTCACACCAGAAACTCATTTCAGGTCGTTTGGCCAGAGTCGACGACAAGGGCCGGCCGAGGCTGGCGCTGCTGTTGACATGCGTCCTTGCCGCTGTGCTCTCGTACATACAGCTGTCGGGTTAGTATCCTGAGGTCAGAAGCAGATCGTTTCGATGGCGAAGTCCGCTGACAGATCTATAGCGGATGGTATCAAGGTCCTGAACTGGTTGGTTTCGATCACTAGTGCCTCTTTCTTCACCAACTGGATTATCATCTCCTTCACCAATTGGCGATTCAGGTGTGCTATCAAAGCACAGGGCGACCCTCTATTTTCACAGACATATGCTTGGGAATCATCTGCTTGGCCTCTGGCTCCTGCTTGGTTGATGCTTATATAATTGATTCTACTGGCGTCATGCTTAGCCTGCGGGATCAATCCTATCGTAAGTGAATTCCGGATGTAAATGCAAGCTGTCATCTTTGTTCTCATTCCTTCTTACCTTCTTCTCGACGAGGCTGACCAACTCATCGCAGGGGGGCGGAGGATTCACGGCGGAGGACTTCTTTCAATATACCATTGGATTAATTCTCATGCTTGGTGCAACGCTTGGATACAAGATCATTTATAAAACACCCTGGCGTGATCCAAGCACAGCGGACTGCACCACTGGCCGCTGAGATCTGTCCATCGACGAGATCAAGCAACTAGACGAATAATACAAGCAGCCAAAGATCAAGAGGTTCTTTAGCTACGTAAAGTGGTGGTAAACCGAGGGGAAATCCTGTGGTTGGAATTTAAGGATATTGCTGTACGCTGGATTGATTTAGAATGTGGCTGATCAAACCACTCAATCTGGGGAGGAAATCTCTTTGTGCATGGCTCTGGAATGTGGTTTATCAGCTAGCTTCTCTTGCGGAGTTGATGTAATTGATATGTGTGGCTTTGAACATTGTTGTAGCAAGACATTATCAAATTACCCGTGTGCTGAGAACCGAACGACTCAATACCACTCGTTCTGTCATTTCATTCCAAACACTGCCTGTCGGCTTAATGCAGAGTGAGGCACGCCCGGCGAGTCGTCCGATGGAGTTTGCGTGGCACAGTGGCATTTAGAATAGTCACAGCCCCACATAGCCATCCTAATCTCGTTCCCGACGCCTCCGGACTGGATCTATGTGCATGGGAACACGGATAGCCGTCGATGATGATACAGTACTTGACCAAGAGCCTGACTATCAAGATAGATTATGGTTGAGGCTTGACCCTGAACATATCAGAGGTTCATCGGCTAGGGGACCAAATCCCCCAAGTTTTGGTTGATTAGCGTCCATTAATTGGAGACATCTCGCAGAATCATTTCAGGCGGTTGGGTGTGATGGGGTTGTTGATGTCCGGATAGACTTACTACTCTCGTCGTGGTGGGTGTTGAAGAGGGTGGTGATTTCGGGAAACGCATCCGATTTCTCTCGTCACAAGGTTGTGGCGTCATTGCTTTAGCTTGCGGAACCGGCTCCCGGTGGCTATCTGACGGGCTCCCGCTCCTTCCCCGCACGTTGCATCTGTTCCACGTTGAGGCACGAAGCCTTCATAATCATGATGACACACTGCCACTGCCGATCAAGCTGGAGCTCCGTTATAGTAAGATACAAATACCTATCGTAAGGGCGAACGGACAAGTTAAATTATCTGCCCGTGAACTCATCGCCTTGTTCCTCCAACAAGCCTGAACGCCCTGTTGCCAACAAGTCGCCCTCGCGTAGACAGCCTCTAACATTCTGTTTCTCATAATGGCATCATCCCAAATTTCTCCAGAGACCTTCCATATCCCACCCACCCCTCATTCTCCAAATTCTAAATTCCCTGTCATTGTGTATAGAAACGCGCTGGAGAACAAATCCTTGGAAGGTGCCTTAGAGGCGATCAACACCTCGGAGTGGGTTAAAGGAGGACATTGGAAAATCGCCAACGAGACACTCGCAGCTACGCCCCATTATCATTTGACTACACACGAGGCGTATACTGTCTTACGGGGTAGTGGCACATACGTCCTTGGGAAGTCTCCTTTGGATGCAGATACTGATGAGCTCGGCAACCCCGTGGGTGTCGAATTTGTTGCTCGTGCCGGAGACGTTTTTGCATGGCCAGTAAGCTATGAATACCGACTAAACCCAAAGGAGAGTTCGGCTACTAATACCAACAACTCGTCATTAGGCAGGAGTGACACATTTTGTCAAGGACACTGAGGATGACTATGAGGTAATTGGGTTCTATGCTTTGGTGAGATCTACTTCCGAACTTCACGTCGAATGGGACTTTCTGCGCCTATAGAGCTGACGAGGTTTCGAGACGGGGTTCAACTCTAGGGAAGAGCCTTACGACATGGAGTATGCTTTGGATTCTGTTGAGGAAACAGACGAGAAACGGTGGAGGTGTGAGAAGGTCCCTGGTCCAATTAAGGACCCGCTATATGGAGAAGCAGGGCCAATGCCTTCTCTTTGGAAGAGGAATGATTCTTGATGCTCGCAAATGTTTATATTATGCACAAGCAAGATAAGCTAGGCAAAGTAGTATGCACAGCCTTTAAACTGACCAAGACTCAGCTGTCTCCAACTTCCAGTCTGATCACCTTGGTCCTCTGCTGGCCGATAATCAGATGTCTCCTGAAGCTGCTTGAATTGATACTATCCATCAGTTACGGGAAAATCCCAGCCCAAACTCTCGGGATCCAGCGAGTTAGCGATATCGATCAGAAGGTCTGTGCTAAGCTCGGCATCCATCGCCAGGCCCTGTCCAAATTCTAAGCCCAGGGCCTGATTTGTTGGATATGATGCGACGGTATGAGTAGCTAGAATGCCCTGTGTCGCGTGGACTCGGGTTGAAACTCCTTCATCTGCACCCTCAGAGACGATGAAGATACCCATCAAGCTGTCTTAGTTCTGATGCAATCATTCCTGCGATCTTACTGCCATGAGAGTTCATTTCTTCCAGAATCAGGAACACCCGTTGAGACCACGCTGCGTGCTCGGAAAACAAAGTCGGGTCAATAGCTGCAGCCATAGAGATGGCGACTGCAGCTGTCGATGTAGCATCCAGATCAAACATTAGAAAGTGTTGGTTTGCGTGTACCACAGGTTAGTCACACAGGTATTCCTGGTATCGCGATCGGTAGCAATATCGTTGGGTTAATCTGGTGTTCTTGTTGTTGTTATTATTGTTGTTAAGGAGAGTATCTAAACGCGAAGGCTCGTGATATGGAAGGAGGGAGCTGAGGTGTGTCACGTGCCGAAGACACGTGACATAGCTCGGCTCCGTGTATACCTAGCGATTGCCGTTTGTTCCCACAGAAAGCTTTCTACGATCCCTCGAATGAGTTAATTTTACTTCTAAAGGGTGAATGAATGGCTTACCTAGGAACCCCTGACTCAACAGCCTTGACAAAATCTTGATTATTTGTCGCGAACAATCCGTACAAACTTGAAGTAAGCTTCTGACACTGTCGGAGTGCAACCACTGCATCAGCACTGACTCAGACTGCCCAAGCTTGGACTGAAGGAATATAAACAACAGCGGCCTAGTGATTAGAACGATACACTAGGTACACATCACGTTAGGGCTTTCTCTATGCCAAAGTTTGATGTCTCCATACCTGATGGTACTGAAGGTGTAGATGTGCCGAGACACGAGAAACCCCTGATGTGTTTTCACCGGAGTCTATGTCAAATAATCCATGGAGATCGGCGGCGAGGCCCGCTATGCTTTGAAGGACAGATTTTGTGGCACCTAGATAGCGACTGTCGAGCTGTCCTTCGATGCCATAAACAGCTATTCCAAGATGTTAGCCACCAGCGCGACGATGAGCTCACCATGGATATAATATGGTTCCCCGACTTACTCTGGTGTATCTGCCCCAGTACCTGTGCCAGCTTGATCTGGATGTGTAATGCGCCAGTTCTTTGTGCTTGCTCGCAGAATATGGGGAACGGTGTGCAGACGCATTCGTCCGAGATGAACATAGGCACTCCCATGAGCGCCGACATCTGACGCTCCAAGACATATATTGTCCACCATGCTAGCCTGCACCTCTGAACATACGTTTCGTCCAAGTGGTGGCTCTGCATCTCAGTATGCAGCCCGTGTTCAAAAGCTGTGCTAAGTGCTTGTCCAATCTGCGAGAGACTTGTTAGAAGCCGAGATCAGATGCTTGGGCATGGCTCACCAACATATCGATACGCCGCGGGACGACTACTTATACAGTGAAGATACAGTGACATGCAACACAGTACCTGCATCGTTTCTACATAGTCGCACTCGAAGAAGGTGAAGTCTGGCATAAGCTTCATGGCCTGCACAAACAGGTCTGCTCCAGGGGGTTGTTGTGAATTCGATGTTTGCACAACGAACGCCTTGCCGAATGCTAAGAGAATGAGGTAGTGAACATACCACAATCGGGGGACTTTTGACTGATCCGCGGCATTTGCATGGAATGTCGCAAAGTTTTCCATGAAACTGTGCTCTTCAAACAAATAGAATAGGCGACAACAGTGAGACTTTACAGAATTAATCAAATAGATTGCAAAATCCTGCGTGGGTAAATGGGCAGGGCTGAAATCTTCCGCTGAGGATGCGCCTCGGCCTCCATCCCACCTCAAGCCATAGACCTTCCCGTCAAAGAATAGGTTCTCCGGTGACAATGCAGTGCCGGTTGTTGCTTCGTGGGTCATAGATAGGACCCGTCGATTGAAAGCCCAATTGGACGATGTTCCCATGAAGACTGATCAGGCAACATCAGCGTACCGCGCTCGGGGGATACTGGCGGCTTTGACGTACCAGGAGTACCACTAGGACCAGGAACCCAATCTATCGTATGGAACGCCAGTGGATTTGTGAGCGGTGTCTCATTTGTGGGCACGTCAACGCCTAGGGATGGTGCGAGTACGCTCGAGGATGAGGGCGTAGCGGGAAAAGTAGTTCTTACGGTTCGGCTCGGTAAGTAGTTGTCAGTGGCGTCGCCTACGACTTCGGCTGTGGTATCTATCAGTCCTTGATCTCGAACGTGAAAATTGAATAGGTGGCCTGCTCTGACGCGTTTTCCCGCTCGACGGTTGGTCCAAAGGTGTCACGGTGTTTTGTGAACCCATCAAAGCTGCTCGCCGCTCGGATGCTGCCAGTCTCTCTTGCAAATCGTTAATGTATCTAGAGCCGTCTAGTGAGTATGCCGAGTACTAAGTTTGTTGCAGGAAATGAATCGATCAGACTGAAGTTTTACCTGCTGGTTACCACCACCTTCTGCGACTCATCCGGGAAGACGCAATCCTGCTCTCTTTTTCTGCATTGTTGACAAGGGTCTGAGCCAGAGCATTTAATTTTTTGATCGCGGCATCTTGTGCAGCTTCGCAGCCGAAGAATGGTCAGCAACTGTAGCAACTCAAGGCTGTTTACGGAGGCGCGTATTATATCGGGGCAGTCGGCGACTTACGCTTTCGGTGTGCGCCTTTTCGTGGCACGGTTCCTCCCAACGGCTACTCAAGCACTAGACTGTTCGAGATTCCTAAGATAGGATCTCTATCAAATGTGCCCGGATAACTTGACACATGCGAGCTGGCCTTACTCAGGCTACACAGAACATGTCAGCTGTCCCTGTGACGTAAGGCATGTTCATCCAACGCTTAAATTCCAACTCCTAGTTGGCACGTGATGCATGTTGCTAATTTCCGCCCTCGATCATCCAAATTTACCACTCTCATTTTCTCCAAGGAGATGAAAACAACCTGCACACAGGGCCTGATGATTTGGGTGTACGGAATGAAACCTTGAGGTAAGGTATTCTCCACAACCCACAGAATAACTCTGTGTCCTCCGAGTGGTATCCGTACACTGGATTATATAACGGCCCGCTGGTACTGGCCACGTGACCACTCATCCCTCCACGAGCCTCAACTTCGAGAGGTTCAGTCCGACTCACCATCAATTGAATGCCCATCCCAGTCAAGTACTCGAGAGGATCATCGTGCATTCATTTTGATTTCCTTTCTTCACCCCTCTATTTTCAATACTGCGGCTACTACTTTGATACACATTTAGTTGTATCTTTGCTGCTTTGATGCACAACCGCCATCATGCTTTCTTCAGGCTTGCTCTCAACTTATAACCAATACAAGCGCGACACCGATGTCGTTTCTTCCTGGTTGGCTACCACCGCTATGAGCTCCGGCTACCCTAGGCCCCTGAGTGAGCCACCAGCCAAGGCTACATCTTCGGTGCCCACGTCTGAGAGGCTGAAAGGCAAGGCTCGGAAGGAGGCCAAGAAACAACCTGCCATCAAGCCAGCTCAGGTATCCGAGGAGACGACGCCGAAACACATCATCGCCATCAAGGACTTCCTGCCACTGGCCCAGTTCGTCTCAGGGAAATTGCCTGACTCCATCAAGGTTCCAGAATCCTTCATGTCATCCCTCAACCGCGTCATTGAAACTCGAAAGCGGTTTTCATCTATGTTGGGTGGTATTCGACGATTTAAGGACTACCGTGGGGACAATAAACATGCCTTTTTTGTAACTGTCCTTGAGCGCGTCCGCGATGCCTTCAAATCGCAGGCGGATGCGTTCGACGTATCTGCTATGCAAGACGCGACCCGCGGCGTCGAAAAGTCCCTCCCAAAGGGTGCCAAGCATGTTGATGGACCCAAAAACATGCTTGCCATTCTAGACGTTTACGAGCCATCTAAGGACTTCCTGGCTGCCCCAGATGTTGAGCGTGAGGCTAAAGCTCCTGAAGTCTACATGGCTGAGGAGGATGACTCCGATACTGCAGCCCTCTTCATGTACACTGCATACCTCAAAGATCTCGGTCGACTTCGCAAAGAGATTCTCCAGCTCTGGGCCGAGTACAAATCCGGAGATAGAGACCTCGCCGCCGTTTCAATTGCCACCAACACCGCTCTTCAGCTTGCGCGCAATATGGAGCAAGAAATAGCCCCGTCGATGGAAAAGCTTGGAGGTGCCATGATTGTCATACAAATGTTCTATGAGGCTGCTTGTGCAGCTCAAGGCCAGGACCCTCTTGATAAGCAGTGGGGCGAGGACTTGAACTTCAACTGCTACGACGACGCCTCCGACCTCTACTTCACTACTCTCAGTCTTCTTTACGCCTTTAGCAACACGAATCCAGACATCCCAAATTACAGTGGGAAATTCGGTTGGTACAATGACAAGAAACGAGGAACCAGCGCTCGCGAGCGATGGGCAGAGGATAAGGCAGCACTCCTTGAAGTCTTCGCGGATCAAACTATGCTCTTCCAGCTGCTTCGGGGGTCCCCGGTTCACGATGAGTTCACAAAAGGATTGAAGGCCTTGCTAGACAGGGGTAAACTGGAAGTCTGGCTCTGCTTTTCGGCGCAGGTGTACCTCGACATTCTCAAGTCCCTCGGACCTTCCGTTCGAAACGGCGAGAGAGATTTCCAGCGGTCTCTACAGCCAATTGCAGCCAGTGTCAAAGAGGCTCTCCGCATTCGCAGTAATCGAGAGGCTACGGTCAAGGAGAACATGGGGGATCTTCACAAGCTCGCAATCTTATGGGGACCCGGGAAAGATCCATTCAACGCCATTCGCATTGCATCAAGGCTTAAAAGCAGGGCATCTAATTTCTTGGAACATCATCCGATGTATTGCGGTCTCTTCTTGCATTACGTCCGTACTCTTTTTCACCGTGTCGGAGCCGAGTACGCCGCAAAGCCCGGGAATGTGTTGCACGGTATCCAGCTCTATCAGGCTCTCCAACAAGAAGGCTTTCTGCAAGACAGCGATAAATGGGATGCATTGGATTCGATGATGGAGCAACAGGGCGGGACCGCCTTCTTCGTCGGCGACCCCCCAGTGGACCCAGATGCGTATTTCAAGAACTTTGAACTTTCTAAGGGGGTCTCGGCCGCGCAATGGATCCAGAAGCGCAACAAACCCAACAGCAATCGCTTCATGACCTCAAAGGCTGGTATTCGGATCATGAAGTTCAATGGAGTCTGTTCCTGCTCGTTTGCCCCTATGGTCTTGGACAACTCGGATCCCAGAGGGCTTAACGCGGTGGTCATTGATCAAATCCTTGAGCGAAGTGGTTGGCTCGACAAGGCAAACATTGATGGGTCTCCTACCGACACGGAGAAATCCAAGGTAAGATATAAAGCTCTCTAATCTTATTATCAAGTGTACCTAAAAGTGAATGTAACATCTGACAATCTTCAGCAGAAGCATCGTGCGCTCCTCCCATCTGAGCTAGTTCGTCAAGTCGCCCTCGCAGTTCACGATGAGGTTCCCGAGCTCACACTTGACTACTTCCACACCGACCACCTTTGCAAGGCTGTCTTGAAGCGCGTGCGAGAAAAAGTAGACGTTAAGAACGGCGGTTCGATCGAGTCCAGTCAACTCCGTGCGCTTCAAGAAGACAATCCAGGAAATACTGTGGGCATAGTTTTCGCTGCGGTTGTTGGTCATGTACCCGTTCTTTCTCCAGACCAGAAGGCGCCTCTGCGAGAAGCAGCTGAAGCTTTCAAGAGTAAGCCTACCCTGGAAGATCAACAAATGCTGTCATTAAGTGCCTTTTATAGAGAGATGTAAACTTTGTCATAGAATCGTAGCCATCGGATTGTCATATCCAATACATTGGTTAGCATCATTTCGTACTCACTAAGGCTTGTGCCTCGCCATTAGCAGCTAGCTCATCTGGTACAAGGTGTCGGGTATACGGTGACATGCTTTTCAATAGATCATGTCATCATTACCAAGGGCGTTATTATCTCGCACTGGAACGCAGTGAACTCATACCTAGGAGAGAAGTTGAGGTAGGCTTCTAGCACTGGTCGTGTCATTAAACAGTATGGTTGCAACAATTAACTCGGTGCTGCGAACCCCACGGATCGTTCATCTTCAAATCCCTCATGTGAGATACCGTAACAGACACTGGGAGGTGGCGCAAGTGGTAGACATAGATAATTGTGTATGTGGTCTTCCATGACAGTTTATATCAGGTACAGTCGCTTGGCCCCAATTGACGTCCTACAAGCGAGGCTTTTCTTAGTCTTGACAGCATCCGGGAACAGTCAAACTCTGATTGTGAAGCGTAGATTGGTTGTCACGTTGATTTGATCTCGGAACATCATTGGAAGGGTTGAGGTTGAAGAAGCTCGTTGGCTTCAGGGTACATGACAACTTCTCCACAGGCATAACCGGGAAGTCTAAGGGTATTCAAGCATTGTTAGTGTCTTGTTCAACAGCAGCACGGAGAGGACTATCTCGTACCTTCGGGGCGTGTGACGTGTGTCAGACCAAATGAGTGCCAAAGGACAACATCCTCACCCTCGACGTTTTCCGCTCGTGCGGCGTACTCTGCGAGGCCAGTATCTTCTCGGCTTTGATTGGTAAACTCCCCAGCAGCCCAAAGTTCGTTGTCGCGGTAGTGAGTGACCCAAATCGGCTTAGATGCAAAAACTCCACGTCGATGATTGAAAGTCTCGGGCCCCATCATCAGCATCTGGCTGGGCGAAGCATGAAGCTTGTACCCAGCCAATTTTCCCGACACATCATTCTTGCGAGCCGGATTGACGATTTTGTAAGTGCGAGCTTTTGTCAGATCGAGATCATAGCCTCCAGGTGATGTGATAGGTGTGGTATCGAGTCGGAACGCACATCCGTAAGGGTCAAGTTCTGGATCGTCCCGCACAGGAATGCAGTCCTCGTACAAAATCGTGTTCTTTCGTTCCCCATCAAGGATCGGATCTATGCGAACACAAAAGAGGTGTTGATGGTTGACAGCCAAGACTCCGGGAGCCACGACGGTTCCCCAAGGCGATGTTTTGAGGTCAGGACGGATCGGCATAGTGGAAAGAATTCCAGTGGCTCGCACCTCAATGTGAATATTCGCAGCTTGATCCAGAACGAATGCCAAGATGTATTCGTAGTTAGCCACAGTAGAAGTGCACTGGATAACGAGCTTTCGGTCCCGGACCACGGAAGACTTCATGCTGCGAAAGTGTGTGTGTTTCCAGCCAATTCCGTCATCGATTTCGTGCATGCAGACGACATTCGGCATGACTACGGGGTCTCCCGTTGCTGAAACCCGGACGCCGTCGAAGTAGGCAATATGGCCTAAGCAATCACAGCCAAGAGCCAAGCTGTTGGAGGTGAGACCGAAGCCGGAGTCGCCGAGGTCGAACGCTTGCTTTCGGTGGTAAGGTGTCCGAGGATCGCCATAAGGTACCGTCATTTCACTCATCGACACCCGATAGAATAGAGGTCGGTCTTCGTAACGCACATCATGCAGGACTGGGCCTTCGCGCAGAGACCATCCTAGCTGAAAATTCCATTTCTGCCATGACACCGTACGATGGTCGACGTTGAACGAAGACCCCTCCGGTTGTGTAACCTGTAGTGGTTTGAGGTCTTTCCGAAATGCATCGGATCCGAGAATGTTTGCGCTGTACTCAACCGGCTTGATAGGCACCCATGGTTGCGTTTCATCATCGATTTCGTCATCGACCCCCAAAGGAAGCTTTTGGAGATCAACGAGCTCAAGAGTGTGAGCATCAAAAATAGGAGCAAGAGGAAGAGGGATAGAGTAGTGATTGGCCTCCTCGTCGTCATCAAGGGCAAGATACATGTAGCACTGAAAGAGACGTCGTCTCTCCTTGGCATCATCGGTTCCATACGCCCAAGGGTCATTGAGAACTCGAGCTCTAATCGATATCGGATCATGTTAGCTAGCTCTGCCATATCGACTGCTTGGGGAGTTGGGGCCTCACGCCTCCGGAACTTTTAGCTTAGCGACCTCAGCCAAGACACCTGGATGGGCGTTACAAGCTGTGGTAACGAGATCATATTCAACCCAGTCCACAGGTCCCTGGGCGTCAGGAAGATCGTCTGTTTTCTCGAGGATTCCGCTAGTGATGTTGATGATCGCTCTGCTCATAACATATTTCTGTTTCTGTTGATAGTAGATCCTGGCTCTGCGATCAGGCACAGGGCCGCTTTCCAGCAGATGAACCAAAGCTTCGTCTTTCGAAGGTTCAGCTAGATCGATCACTTTGAACCTGATTTTATCTCTCTGTAGGTCCAGTCCTTTTAACAAAACGCGGGATGCTTGGCGCACTTCGTTGACCGAAAGGGGGTCAAGGGGGTGTTGAACCATGATGACAGAAGTTAGTGAGGCCGATGAAAGATCAGAAAGTGTAGTGTTTGGGGGTGAAGATGCAGTGATGTGACTGATGTTCAGCTGGCAATAAGAGTTTCAAATACTACATCTTTCCATACAAATATTCAAATATTTACTATCATGGTACGTCTCATTAAAAGTTGTGTATTACGAAAAATAACACCGAAGTCGTTCAATCCGTGTTGCGAACTTACACGCTTCCCAAAGAGGATATACTCCCAGCAGCGACTCACTGATTCCCAAAAGGGAAAGAGGGGCAACCTATTGACCTTTTGTCCATGCACTTCAATGCAAACGCGGGGTGAACATGAAGCTATGCATGTCATCTCGTGAGTGATCTCCTCCTGATTACCAAAGAGAAACCGACCGCACTCTCATTCACTTTGGAATGATGGCAACAGAACAGCTACTTCACTTGGTAGACCAAGCGCATCCCTTGGCTTGAATGGGAAAGACATCCAGCCGGACCCCCACGTCAGCATTGCGAAGGAATACAGCAGGACGCGGGGTAGCCAAGCATGGCCACTATTACCGGCCGATCTCTCATGATGCGGCAACCGCGACTGATCCAATAAGAGCAGAATATCGCGGAAGATACATGCCAAATCTCCCCAAACTTTGCTTCCTTAGATATAACTAGAAATCCCGTATCGACACACGACTTTGCAGCAACCTCAAAACTTCACCGACTTCATCTAACCATGCTCGACTTCAAAGGTGTCGATCTTACCGGCAAGACAGCCATTGTTACCGGCGCTTCACGGTGAGAAATCTGCCTTCTTATCCAGTCTTTTGACGCCTTCTTCAAAGCATAGCTAATGTTGGTGATTCCAGGGGAATTGGCGCCGCGATTGCGAAACAACTTGGGAGACGAGGGGCCAATGTCGTCGTCAACTTCGTGACAGACAACAGTCGCCAGCGAGCCCAAGATATTGTCAAGTACATACAGAAGCACGGGTCTAGTGCCATTGAGATCCAGGCAGATATAGGAAAGCCGTCTGAGATTCCAAAACTCGTTGATGCCACGCTGAAGTTTAGCGGAAGTGGCAAAATCGAGATCTTGGTTCACAAGTCAGTCTCTGGTCCTAGCTCACTTGCCTTGACCTTGGTAGTTAATTGCTTGATTCTGATACCTACGATTTAACTCGCAGCGCGGCTTTGGGTGTTGACGCCAATCTTGATGAGGTCACCGAGGACCTGTATCTCACCCACTTTGATACCAACGTCAAAGGACCGATTTTCCTAACCAAAGCTGTTGTGCCGCACATTTCCCAAGGCGGTCGAATAGTGTTTGTCTCCTCTGCAGCTGCTCGACTTGGGGTTGCGGGACAAACCGTATACGCTGCTACAAAAGCAGCCGATGAGGCACTTGCACGTGTGTGGGCTAAAGAGCTTGGCCAAGAGCACGGCATTACTGTCAACTGCGTCAACCCCGGCCCGGTGGCTACTGGTAGGCATCTCTTGTTAGCCATTAGCTTCACAGGAATACTGACATGACCTGCAATGTAGACCAGTGGAACGAAAGTGACGACCAGTTTAGGAAAGACATGGAGCCTCTGATTGAGTCTACACCGGCTGCGGCGAGAATCGGAGAGGTGGATGATGTCGCACCGCTCGTAGCATTCCTTTGTAGCAGCGATGCTCGATGGACTACTGGCTCTGTCCTTTGTGCAAATGGGGGTTTGTATAACTAGAACAGAAATACACTTGTGCGACCATGATGATGATGATGATGTATTTAACGTCTGGTAACAAAAGGACGTGCCGGGCGCTATGCCGACATGGTCTATACTAATCTAAACTATATTACAGGCTACCGTCTTCACCTAACGTTCCTGTTCAATGACTCGGGCAAATTTCGGAAAAGAAATTGGTCTCCTCTATCCATTCGCATAGAAGAGAGGCTCCCTTAGCAGAACCTAACAAGAAATCAATACTTACTTTGGCCATACGTTGGCGGAGGTAGCGCGGTATAGCCTTGCGTCCACGCTTGCAGAAGTAGAAATGGACTGGTGTCTTGGGTTTCCCACAGCTACAGTTGAGCAACGCATCTTGATGAGCGAATCTCTGGTGGTATGCTGCAAAGTCTCCATAATAGGATCTTGCTGCGTATAGCCTTCCTAGTAAGTGCCGAGGGAGGCGGAGTTCGGGCGGCTTGGGGTGAAGAATTATCTCGAGGTCGGCATATTGCCGAGGGCATTGGGACAGCCATTTTCTGGCAAAGGCTTGGAAGGCAGCTGCTTTAGCTTGCCTTTCTAGGTGCGCTAATGAGGGCTGTGGTTGTGATTTTAGGATTAGTTTGCAGGCTTCCTTGGCTAGAGCATCCGCTTCTTCATTTCCTGGTACTCCCGTGTGCCCAGGGCACCACCAAACATAAACCCTGCCGGGGGTTGTCCAGCTCTCTCTTTGTCTCCGAGTCCAGGAGGAAGAGAGCCTATTGAAGGCCCTAAATCTAGCCTGGCTGCTTCCTGTGCTCTGGGAGTATAGTCTAGCCGCGACTGCGAGGTTGTCGAGGCAGATGTGGACGTTATCTGCCATACGAGCCGTAGGAGCCCGGGTGGCTTCCATCAGGCCGTGATACGCAGCATGTGCCTCCGCGTCATACACCTCAGTTTGGGAGCCGAGTGGTTCGGATCCGCGGAAGATCTGCCGTGTAGCTTGGTACCCTACCCAGCCTGCTCCGGCGGAGGTGCTGCTGCCGTCCGACATCTGGGACCCGTCAGTGTAGAGAACTTGTGCGACCAATTGTTTATGAGTTGACAAATATTGCGTGGCAGGTGCAGGTGGGTCACGTGACCCACCTGCACCTGCCACAAGGTGAAAGGGTCGTGATAGTGTGTGTATAGGTGTAGACGGCCTGTACGGTCGCGTCTGTTATTGTTTTTTTTTTTGAGGAATCTGTACCTCTGCCGTTGCCAGTCGCGACGCCGCGATCTCTGGTCGACAGATTAGTAACTGCTCAATTGAACGGGCTCTACGCAGAGCTGGGCGATCAATTCATATGGGGTAAAAAGAAAAAGAGTCAACGCTGGGCTCTCATAATCTGTGGAGGCAATACTACTGTATTGGATCTGATGATGATGATGGGAAAAGCTGAGCGCTGGCTGGGCTGGATATCTGGGCAAGGTGTAGGTGGCGCAGCTCCGAGATGTGAAGGAGCTGCCTCACGTGACCCACCTGCACCTGCCACATATTGCAAATTTGCAAGTGATACTTTGCGAGACTGGATAACATACTGTCT